TGGGTCTGTGCTAGGACTGGGTCTGGGGCTTCCCAGAAAGGGCAGAAATTCCTTCTCGGCGAGCGTAGTGGGGGAGGTGCTGCGGAGTGGTTGGGGGTTTCTCAGTGGGGTGGGAGAGGGTCTAGCCCACTCTGCGCCTTGGCTGGGACTGGTCCCGCATGCTCAGTTAGCAGGAAGCTCTCCCACACTCACCGGACCTGGGCTAGGACTTGGTCTGAGTTTTCCAGGAACACGGCCTCTGCTAATTCTTAATATTGAAATATGTGCCAACCCCCAGGAAGAGCTAATATTTTGTATTTGGTTTCACATAGAATAATTCCACATTATTTGTCTAAAAGTTTTTATTGCATACCTGAGTTTATTGAGTTTTAGAGAACGTTTTCTGATGTAGTGGTCCAGGGCTCTTAATTTTTTCATTTCCTTCCTGTGTTGCATTATGCTGTCATTAACATTTTCATTCTTTTCACCCAGCCTCTCCCATGCATTCATTTCTCTTTCACTCAGTGATTGCTGAATAATCTCCGATGAGCCCTCCCTGACTGCAGAGTCAGGTGCATCTCAGAAGGTCCTAGAAACTCTGAAGTCTGTGAGTTTTCCCTAGCTGATGCATCACTTAGTGTCCTTGGTGATGGCTTCTGGGCAAGTGGGTGCCAGGACAGCATAGACACTGGGCTCTTCTGGGAGAGCCCTACCCTGGGAGGAAGGATGTCCAGCTGTCCCTTGTCTGAGTGTCCTGATGTGGAGCTGGGCATAAGTTATATCTTGGGGACCCTCAGAAGCAGCATTCTGCAGGGGAGAGTGGAGAGGGAAAGTCATGCTTGGCACAGGGGAAGCCTGGGGCCTGGGGAGTGCAGGACTTACCTGAGTATCCATTAGCCTACCAGGTGCTGAGTGCTTCACCTGGGCATATGTTGGTCCATTGGGGTCCTCAGGAGGTGGGCTCTGCATCAGGGAGAAAGAGACAGAGATGTGGTCTCCTTGGTTCCATGCTGGTCTCTTCTACCTAGTGTCCCATAGGATGAGCAAAGGGACCCTTTAGTAATTAAGCCACACTCTGTCCCTTACTCATGGACCTTCATGAGCTTGCTAAGGTCTTCAAGATTCTGGTAGCTTACTTCCTGTAGTGTTGCCCTCCCATCCTGACACATGGACCCCACTCCCTGATCTCCCTGATGGAGCCCGTCCCTGTCTCAGGGCCTTTGCTCCTGCCCTGTGCTCTGCCTGCAGTGCTGTGCTTTAGAGGTCCACACGGCCCTCTCCATGCAGGCTTCTGTTCAGCGCTCACATTCCGGAGTGCCTCCCGAGTGTCATCACAGTGACCTCCCTGGGATTCTCACTGGCCCTCCTGTCCTTCCACACCATTCTCTGCTCTATTGTATTTCTCAGCTCTGTGCTCTCCTCACACTGGGCTCCCAACTCAAGGTGACTCAGGGCAGGGGGCACTGTGGTGCCCTCTGGATCTGCAGCCCCTGTGGAGTCAGTTCAAGAGAGAGACCCCTCATCCCACCGGGAAGTCTGTCCTAGCTCACACTCAGGAGGAGGGAGACATACCAACATGTCGTTAGGGTTTGGATAATTGTAATGATGACTTCTGCTGGTCTACGGAGGAGAGCAGTGGAAGCTTAACATTGTTTTCGTGACCTTTTTAATTCCTTAAAACTTTGTTTAACTAATTTTGCATTTTTATATCTGGTAATCTGAGCAACTAATTTGAAGAAAACATCACGCAGTACAGCAACCATTGTGCAATTCCTATTTTGTTTGATAAAGTTCTGCATCATTTCTAATTATTTTTTTACTACTTTGTATTCTCTTTAGATAATGACAATAAATAAAGTATCAACTTTAAAATAAAAGGAGAGAGACCCCTCATGAATGTGGCATGAATGACTGAGGTGCTATAGGGGTGTGGTTTGGCTCATTCATTCAGGGTCCTTCTGAGACCCTGGGGCAAGAGACAGACATACAGAGGCTTAGAGCCAGAAAGGGGACAGAAAGAGAGGACCTGAAGATCACAGGAAAGAGCAGAGGGTGGTGTCACAGCAGGAAGAGGCTGGAGTTTCCAGAACTTAGGACTCAGCTTTGGGGTCCCTGAGAGCTGAGTGGTGCAGGACAGAGCATGGTCCCTGGGCTGAATTGGGAGACAGGATATCCCTATGCACTGGATGCAGTGGGGCCTCACCTGAGTGTCCAGCTCCACCTCATTCTCAGGCTCTGTGTTCTTCATTGTGACCTCTGGAGGGACACAACAGGGGTCAACTCCTGGCCACAGTCCTGGGGCTCTCATTCCCCAGGCCCTGCCTTGTACAGCTGGGGACATGGAGACATGCAGCTGTTTGATGTCCCCAGGAGAAGGTTAGTATTCAGGTTGACTCAGCCCTGTGTCATAGTCTCCCCCTGTCCCTGTGATGCTGAGACCTCCAGGGACTCCCACCCAAACCCCTTTTCCTCTCACTGTGGTTTTCTTCCTGGGTAGCAGTGGCTGAACTGGAGCTCTGTACACAAGGGAGTGTCAGTTGGCAGTAAGGGGCGGTGGATTGGGAGTTCAGGTCCTGGGACAGGAACGACCTCTTCTGCAGGCCTCTGTCCCAGGATACTGGCCCTGCAGCCTCTGCAGGGCATGGGAGGTTGGCCTCTGTCTGGGATGGGAGATAACGGAATCATAGCCAGGAAGACAGAACCACCCAGGCTTCAGGGCACGCAGGGCATGAGGAAGCCTCAGAGGACATGGGCCAGGCCTGAGGTGGAGAATCTCAGACCACACTGGAGATGCCTACAGGATGGGACCTGTGTTCTGCTCTGGATTCTGCAACTGTGCATTCTGTAGAGGGGAAGCTAAGCCCGTTGTGCTCCATCAGCCTGCTGTCCTGGGCCAATGCCTGGGCACAGCCTGGCTTAGATCATGGGGAACACATTAACTCCTGGGGCCCTAGTCACCCTCTCCGAACTCACCTGCTTTCCTGCTTTTGCTCTGGCGCTGATGTCGGAGGACAAGGAAGAGAACGAGGAGGAGAAGCAGCAAGATTGATGCCACCAAGACCCCAATCAGAACCTTCAGGTTCCTTGCCAGTCCTTGTGCCGAATTTAGTGAGGGAAACACAGCGGTGACTTTGTGAGTGGAGCATGGTGCCGATCAGTTGACTATTCCCTGTGTGCTAGGTTCACATAGGTTATTGGACTCCTCACCCCAACCCTCACAATTGTGGGACATGTGATTGCCAACCCCAGGCAGCAGACAGAGGGACCAAGAGGCTCAGAGAGGCAACCATTGCCACAGATCTCCCAGCAGGAAGAGGGGTTTCTGGGGCTGGAACCTGGATTCACTGCCTTTCAGCCTTCTAAACTGATGGGGAGCAAGATCCTGAACAGTCTGCTATGGCCCTGCCCCTCCCAAACACACTGTCCCTGTCACTGTAGTGTGGAGTCCTGGAGGCTTCCCTGGGAGGCCACCAGTTCCAGGGCTCACAGCAAGGTCAGCACCAGAGGAACTTGAAGTTCAGGGCCAGACCTCCCCTTTACATTTTGAGACACTGAGGCCCAGCCAGAAAGGCTTGGTCTGAGTTCACATCTCCAGAGGAGACTGAACCAGCCCCTCAGCTCAGCCCCTATCCTGGACACCTCCCATTAAAGCCCTCACTCACCAACCTGAGGTCCAGATTCTGGTGGGATGGGCTGATCTTCAGGGCCTCCTAGGAGTGATGTGGAGGTGAGGAATGGGCTCCCCACTTCCCACTTAAGCTGCTGTTCCTCTTCAGTTTGGACCACAATATATTCCTTATCTCTGACCTCACCCCATGCAGCCTGGATTCCAAGCCCTGGAGATCCAAGTTCCTTTCCCCTTCTCTATTGCTGGACACCAGCAGAGCCCAGACTGGAACCAGAACTGAGATAGGTTGAGTGTCTCCAGGCAGCCTGAACACAGAACACCTGACAGTGCCGGGACTCTGCTGCTGTGGAGCTGGGCACAGGGGGTGGGGGATGGGGTCCCTGAGGATCCTGGGAATGGGCAAGGGGAAGGTGAGGTACTAGGTTGACCCAGGGGGAGTTGCATCCATGCAGTCTCCTCCATCTGCCCTGTTGCCTTACTGCAATCTGCCTACTGCCCACTCGGAATCTCTGACAGCCCAACAGTGTGGAGCTGTGGCCATGCCCAAGAGGACCCAGCAAGCCTCCTTCCCCTGAGGACTATGTCCCTTTCTGGATGATGCTTAACTCTAACCCCAGCCAGAACTGTCCTCAGAGCCATGTCAAAGAAAACCTTGAACCAGAATTATGGGATCCAGGAGAGCTCACCTGAGACCTCGAGCTCCATAGGGTCACTGGGATATGACAACAGATATGGAGTTGAGTTCCAAGAGCCATAACATCTGTAGGTCCCACTGAGGGCTGAGCTCGCAGCTCCCAAGGAAAATTCTGCCTGGAATTGCTGAGCTCTGGACTCTGATCTCAGATGCAAGGGGGTATCAACTGCCCCCTCCTTGGACAGAAGGAAAGTGTCCATTGGAATCGATGACTGACACAGAAGGGTCACATTTTCTCCTGAGGACACTATGGATCCTGGATGCACTGAGAGAGATGGTGTGGCAGGGAGATGCCCTGAAGAGAAGGAAAGTGGTGACTGGTGACACACCATATTCTGAGCTGAGGCCTCAGGAGGGCTGTCTCTGAAGAGACAGCTGTTTGTCTCTGTATCTTCTGACTGCTCCTCCTGACCTCCCCTGTCTCTGACACTGTACCCTCACACTGGTCATCCCCTCCAGGGCTCTCCTAGCGGGGCCTGGGCAAAGTCAAGGTCCCTGACTGAGCCTTGGGCTCCTCACCTGGCATCAGGATATCCAGGGGGTCACTGGGTGCTGACCACGTGGAGGAGAGGCTGTGTCCACCGTAGCATCTGTAGCGGCCAACATGGAAGTGGCTCCCAGGGCCCATGGTGAAGTCTGCCTGAGAGAGTCCAGCCTGGATCTGATGGCCAGGATGCTGGGGGAGGTCTCCTACACCCTCCTTGGACAGAGTGAATCTGTCATAGTTGTGTTCAGAGCGACACTGGAGGGTCAGGTTGTGTCCAGGGACCAGAACAGGGCCCTGCGGGGTCAGAAGAGAGGGCTTCTTGGAGAGCCCTGGAGGGAAGAGAAGTCAGGCTGAGGGGCTGGTATCTGCTCTACTCCTGGCCTCCTTTACTGCCCTGTGGGTCTCCCTGTCCCTCACTTGGGGGTCTTAGGTTCAAGAGATATTCTGACCCACTGTCAGCTTGAGGTCCCCTGAATTTGCGCTCTGTCAATGTGTTTGATAACTGAAAACCTACTGCATTAAACTGGACTTTCTCACCTGAGATTAGGAGCCTCAGAGCATCACTGGGCTCTGACCACACTTGAGGTTCATTCCTGTAATAGCCATAGCATCTGAATGTCCAGTTGTGGTTGGGAATTATGGGGCCCACAGTGAACAGAGCCTGGAAGTTCTTCCTGTGGTGTTGCTGTGAGTGCATCATCCAGGAGCATTGGTCTCCTCCTTCCTCAGTCAGAATGAACCTGTCAAATCCTCTATGTGATCCACACTGCAGGGTGAGGTTTCCTCCTGGTTTCACCACGGGGCTGGGCAAAGCTGAGAGTCTGGGTTTCCTGTAGATTCCTGGGGGAGGAGTTGAATCAGTGTGTGAAATGGAATCACACTGTCCCACAGGCTGGGCTGCAAGAGGGGTCATCCTTGAGTGCAGACCCCTTCCTGAGTGCAGAACGTGGGGCTGTGATTGAGTGTCCTCTCACCTGTCACCACCAGCACCAGGGCATCACTGGGCTCTGACCAGCCAGCAGGGCTGCGATAGTAACAGCGATATTGCCCTGCATAGTACTTGTTCATGGACGAGATGGAGAACTTGGCCATGTTCCTGTGCTGAAGTGATGTCTCTCTGACCCAGGACATTGGCTGCCACTCTCTATCCAGATAGTATTCCTGGGCCTCTGGGATTCCCTCACACCAGAGGGCCACAGGCTTTCCCTGGGGGATCACATGGCATGGTTCAGCCCAGAAGGAGGCCTTGGGGAGGGTCCCTGTGGGGAATTAGGACAGGGAGCATCAGGGATGTTCTGCACTGTGCACTGGCTGGTCCGAGCAACTGTCATTCATTCTGACCCACAAGGAGCACAGGGAGCCTGAGGAGCCAGTTAAAGGTTCCTCTCCTTTCCCACCATCTGATGTTCCCTCTCTGTCTTACTGGGTCCCTCTATCTTGGGTATTGCTGCCACCCTCTCCCTCTGTCACTGAGCTTAGGATCCCTGGCTCCTCTCATCTGCACAGCTTTGGGGCTGGTTCAGGCCCTCAGTCATGAAAGGAAAGGCTGTACCTCCCTCACCTGGGACTAGGAGCTCCAGGGGGTCACTGGGCTCTGACCAAATCAAGGGTTGGCTCCTGCCATAGCCATAGCATCTAAAGATCCGCCTGTGGCTGGGGATCACAGAACCCACATTGAACAGAGCCTGGAACTTCCCACTGGAGCCTTGCTGTGAGTCAAGAGTCCAGGAGTGCTTATCTCCTTCCTTAATCAGAACAAAACTATTGTATCCTTCCCAGGATTCACACTGGAGGGTGACATTTCCTCCTGAGTTCACCATAGCCTGAGGCAGGGCTAAGAGGCTAGGTTTTCTGTAGAGGCCTAGGAGAGAAGGAGGCAGCATGTGAAATGGACACTCATTTTACACATTGTCCCCAGGGCTGGGCTGTGGCAGAGGGAGACCCTTGAGATCAGACCCCTTCCTGAGGGCAGTCTGGGCTGGGACCCTGCGTGTCCTCTCACCTGTCACCACGAGCTCCAGGGCCTCACTGTGCTCTGACCAGCCAGCAGGGCTGTAACAGTAACAGTTATACCGTCCTACATTGTTTTGTGTCATGTATTGGATGGAGAATTTGGCAGTGCTCATGAGATTTTGTGAGGTTTTTGACTCCAAGTACACTGGGCTTCCCTCTTTAATCAGATGGCACAGTATGGCCCCCAGAGTACACTCACACCACAGTATCACAGATGTCCCAAGTGGTATAACAGATCCTGGCACAGGCCTGAGCCTTGGTTTGCGGAAAGTCCCTGTAAGGAAATAACAGTTTTATTGCAGGACCTTCCTATTCCCCTCTGGACACCTCCACTTTAACCCCTGCACTGGGCCGTGAGAGGTGGACAACCCTGAGAGCAGAGCCCTTCCTGAGGGCAGAGCCTGGGGCTGGCCATCTCACCTGTAACCACCACCAGCTCTAGGGGCTCGCTGTGCTGTGACCAGCCATCAGGGCTGTGATAGTAACAGTAATATCGCCCAGAATTCTCTTTTCTTATGGTTGGGATTAGGAACTTGGCTCTGTCTGTAGGTACCAGTTGGGTCTGTATGACTGGCGCTTGGCTTCCTTCTTTGTACAGACCATATTTCTGAGCGTTGAAAGTCCCCTCACACCAGAGGGTCACCGGTGTCCCCCATGGTATCACAGATCCTGGCTCAGCCCAGAGCCTGGCTTTCACAGGGGTCCCTGCAGGGAAATCGCAGATGGGTCCCAGGACTTTCCTCCTCCCCTCAGATCCCAGCTCTCAGCCCCAGCACTCCCCAGACCTCCCAGATCCAGCTCACACCTGCTGTGCTCCATCCCCACTGCCTAGGGGTGGCCCCTTGTCCCCAGGTGGAGAAAAGATCTGCACCAGCTGGGGATATACTTACCTGCCTGCACTAGGTTCCTGGGGCCCAGACACAGCCCTGGAAGAGAGTTCTCTGTGAGAGCTTTGTCATGGAGCCTTAGCAGGTCCTCTCCTACTTGGAACCACCTGAGCCACCTGAGTCCCTTAGCCACTCCTGATGGCTGTGGGGTGCAGTCCCTCCCAGACCAAGGTGCCCCTGCCTTCTTCCCTTCTCACCCAAGCAGAGCAGGGCCACGATGGTGGGGTTCATGGCTTCTCCGATCTTTGGTCACAGCTCTAGAGAGGTGTTGCTGCACTGCATTGCAGGGCCCTTGGACAAATACAGTGTGGAAACTTTGGGACTGGGTTCTGCCCATCACGAGTTGTCAGAGCACCGCCCCACATGAACGGGAACTGCCCTCCCCAGCAGCCAGTCTGCTGTTATCCCAGGGCTGCATCTGGGGCAGGCAACTGTTTGATGTGGGACTTTCCCATCCTTCTGAATCTTCCTGCTTGTTATTCACCTCACTCTGAACCAACAGACTGCAGCACTTGGCGCTGGCACCCTCAGAGCTGGCCCCTTGCAGGGCAGGGGGCCCCATGGCTGATCCTTTGTACCGCCTGCCCCGGGCCACCTCCTCCCCTCAGCCCAACCATGTGCACAGCATGGTGCTTCTCATCAGGAGAATTTTGCCCCAGCTTTGGAGATGCTCCTGGGAAAATACAAGTTCTTGCTGCAGGTGGATGGGAGGAGAGATGCGCTGAGCCTTCCTCTTGGGACTTAGCAGGGAGAAGAGGTGCAGGGCAAGATGTCAGCACAGCTGACTCACTTCCTGGCCCCAGTGTGGGTTTCCTGTGCTAGACCTTCCCCTTCACAGACTTCCTTATTTTTTTTAGCAACTGAGTCCACCTACTTCTCCATGAATAGAAATTTCTGAGCTGTTCTTGCATTCTCAGGGCCCTTGTATAGATTGGTACTGAGTTAGGTGCAGACTGATTTTAGTTCAATCCCGGTTATCATTCTTGATCATGCCCAGTATGTAGCATCTTTCTCTGAGCCTCATCCTCCTCATTTCCAGGTTGCAGTCCTTTGCCCCACTACTAGACATATTATGGGGTGAGGGGTACCTGGACATAGAGAGGCTCAGCCATAGCTCATTTCCAGAGCAGGGAAGTCATCAATCTGGACCATGTAAAGTTCCTGGTGGGAGGTCACATACATCCCAGTAATAGGTCCAGATCTTCTCTGAGACCATTATGGCCATGAAAACAAAGGTAGGAACAATGGTTCTCAATTTTTTTTCTCCTCTTTTTTTTAAAATTCCACCGAGAAACACATAGCAATGAGGCAGCCTCAAAATAGGTCAGCAGGACAGCTACCACAATTAACACATTGCACATTGTTGTCTTCGCAGCAGTCACACAGTACAAGATGCAGACATGACACCCCATCCAAACAGCATTAGTACAAATCCTTCTTCTCATTGAATCAAGACAAAGTAGCTGTACATCTATCCCAACTATTTTGTATACACAGATACAAAATGGTCCTTCATCCATAACCCCTCTCTCTGTTCAGTTTTGTCAGAGATGGGTACTCCACTGCCATTTAAATACTGTAGGTGCATGAATTCAGAAAAACAATCCAATATAGTCCAGCAGTCCACAATAGTAGTGAGTTATCCATAGGACTGGCAATGTCAGAAGCCATAGACCCGAGTCCTCCACAGCCCAGCATATCAACATGGCTTCAACTTTCACACCTTGCCCTTATACTTTTCTGCTGGATGGCCAAGACCAAGACAAAACAAGACCTACACAACAAGAATTGCAACTTACTTTTGTATCTTCCAAGGTGAGTCAAATCCCCTCAGGACTCACCCTGAAGCTCTGCACCAAGCAGGATACAAATAAGAAAGCTTAGAGGCCCCTGGAGTCTTACATAATTAAGGGATCGTTAAGGAGCTGGATTCCCCCTTTGTGGGGGTGGAGTGCACCAGGACACTGGGGCTGGATTATCCACTCTGCACAGGGCATGCCCTGTTAATCACAGCCAGGAAACTTGAGCAAAACAATTTCTGAGGGCTGGAGAGATAGCTCAGTGATCTAAGCACCTACCTGGGAAGTGCAGACTCAGCTTCCATCCCCACTACCTCAAGCTATCTGGCCTGCAGTGAACTGGCCACTGAAACCTGGCATGGTGGCACATGTGTGCAATTCCAGTACAGGGGAGGTTGAGACAGGAGGTTCACTATGAGTCCAAAGTTTAAACAGGAGTGAGATCAGGTCACGCAGGATTTAGAAGTCTGTGTCTCTGGTGATTTTTTCGTATATATTTTGTTCAGGGTCTACATGGTCTGACTGCACAGATAGTAATTGTAGTGATCCTCCTGTTTTCAGCCTCCCAAGTGCTGAGATTACAGGTGTATGCCACCACATCCAGTCTCATTTGTGGTCTCAGCTTGCCCGGGGCCGGGGCTGGCATGAAACACTGGGTATCACTCTGGTTCCTGAGTCGGTGTAAGAAGTTGCTTTAATCCACTGAGGTATCTGGCCAGGTCTCTAAAATTGATTTTAAAGAGAGAATACTAATTGATAAGACATTAGAAATGGTACACATTTAGAAGAACAAGATGAGAGGTATTCAACCATGGTTTTTGTCTTGCATTTTGCTGTCTTTGATGCAGTTCCTCAGAAGATAGATAATAGCATAGAGAGTTAGTCAATGTGAAAATTTTATTTTATTTTATTATTTTTCATAATTTTATTGAGAAACAAATAGCAATGAGACAGTTTCAAACCAAACTCGTAGGACAGTTTCAATAATTAACACATTGCATACCTTCTTCCTAGTGGTTAATTGCGGTACAAGATGCAAACACGATATCCTATTTACAAACACCATTAGAACAAATCCCTCTATTCATAAAGAGAATGCAACTATATATCTATCCTAACCATTTTGAATACACAGATAAAAAATGGACATTCATCTGTATCCCTTTTTTTTGTTAAGTTCCATTATTTGAATATTATAGGTGTGTTAACTCAGCAAAATATTCTAAAAGAGTCCTGTAGTCCATAATAGTATTGGGTCTTCTGCTTGACTGGCAATGTCAGAAATTGTTGACCTGAGTCCCCTACAGCTCAACCTAACAGCATGGCTTTACTATTTTTCTTTCTTTCTTCTTTCTTTTTTTGATTAGACTTACCTTTTATTTTTTATTTTTTAAACCATTTTTTTATTTTATTGAGAAACAAATAGCATTAAGACAGTTTCAAAACTGATTAATAGGACAGTTGCAATAATTAATACATTGTACATTGTTAACTTCTTAGTGGTTATTCATAGTACAAGATGCAGACAGAATATCTTGTCCAAACACTATTCGTACAAATCTTTATTCTCATTTAATGAAGGGTACGTAGCTGTATATCTATCATAACTATTCCGTATATACAGATACAAAATTGTCCTTCCTTTGTATCCCCTTTTTTTTGTTTAGTCCTGTCAGAGATGGGTATTCCATTGGCATCTAAATACTATAGGTGCATGAATTCAGCAAAACAATTCAACACAGTCCAGCCGTACACAATAGTAATGGGTTATCCACAGAAGTTGTTGACTTGAGCCTTTCACAGCTCAGCATAATAATTTGGCTTTACTTTTTTTTCCATAATTTTATTGACAGACAAATAGCAATTAGACACTTTGAAATCAAACTGATGGGACAGTTCAATAAATAACACATTGGATACATTTTTCCCAGTGGTTAATAGCTGTACAAGACGTGGACTTGATATCCTATATACAAACACCATTAGAACAAATCCTTCCATTCGTTAAGAGAATGGAAATATATATCTATCCTAACCAATTTGAATACATAGAAACAAAATGGACATTCATCTGTATCTCCTTTTTCGTTAAGTTCTATCATTTAAATATTATAGGTGTGTAAACTCAACAAAATATTCTAAAAGAGTCTAGAAGTCCATAATAGTATTGGGTCTTCCACTTCACTGGCAATGTCAGAAATTGTTGACCTGAGTCCCCTACAGCTCAACACAACATCATGGATTTACTTCTTATACTTCGTTTTTATACTTTTCGGCTGGATGGTTAAGACCAAGGTAAAGCAGGACCTATGCAACAAGAGTTGTAGCTTTTGGATCGGATAAGCTCAGTGAAATAACCTCAGGATTTATCCAGAGATCCTGTACCTCAGACTGTAGAACCTTTGTCAATTTCAGCCATGAGGATGAGACTCGGCCATTGCTTGGCCAATGTGGTCTCTGGGAAAGCCTGAGAGAATGTTTTCTCTCCAGTTGACTCTCCTGAGGCACACTCTACATTATCGATCACTTTCACCTTTGGCTCCATAATCTCCTTGATCAGAAAATTTGGGACACTCCCGAATTACATGATGTTAGAGTACCAGTTCTCATATGTCCTGAGTCTTAATTGACCTTGGAAAGCTAGGGCCAAAATGTTGGCTTTCCTTGCGGTCCTTTTTCTCTAATTTTGGTCTGCAAACTTAGGTTGTTAATCATCCAGAAGAGAAGTTTATTGTTATTACCATACAACCTAGGCTGTTAAGCTTAACCTCACTAACTGTCTGCATATCAAATATTTAGGCATAACATGGAACAGGTATTTTACATAAAGGATTGATATGTTGAACTTTAAGTCCCTAAAGAATATGATGAAAAAACCTTTAAAAATTAGAATATATTTAAAAAAATAGGCATCAGGAATTATATACTTCTTATATTTACACATAAGTCCAAAAATCTAACCATATACCACCTTGAATCAAGGCAGTCCCACAATATTCCTGTCTCCTGCCTTCATTCACCACCCCCTTTTTTGAACAGTCATCTACCCAAGAGACAGCACAGCAGCAATTGGCATGTCATGAGAAGCAGCCCGTATTCAGAAGACCAGAATGACAGGCACTCCAAGCATGAAACTTCTATCACAGGTTACCATCTTCTGTGCAGTTGCTTAATGTACAGATATCAGTATATATAGTTAGTCAGGGTGAGAATCTTTCTAATTAACTGCTAGATTCACAAGTCTTCTGGAAATTCTCAGGATCGTTTTTTAAAAATTTATTTATTTATTTATTTATTTATTTATT